GAAAAATGAAAAGTTATACTCCTTTTATGTATGATGTATCAACATACATTCTACTGCCATGTACAATGAATTAGAACAAATTTTTAAAAAGAAAAAAATAATAGTGAATAAAACAGACTTTTTCGTTGTCTTCCTTACAAAGACCTTATTATGCTCACCATTAATTCCAATTATATCTTCAAATATCACGTTTCTAAATTTGCTACTGTGTGACTGTGGAAATTGTTCTATTCATATACCATTTTTGACCTCCCAAGTTTTGTGTAAACCCATTTTGTGACTGACATGAGCACATCTAGAATCGAGGGGCACCTGTTCCCTGGGCATTTCCAGCCACACCCACTACTTTATTGACCACAGTTTGAAAGCCCTGCTAATCCTAAAGGCTTAGCTCCATGATCACACTTGGTTAGCTTGAGACCAATCATTCAAAGTCACTTATTTATCAGGAAGGTTGCTTCCTAGTTACCTATTTATTTGGACTATTTTAGTAATATTTATTTTATGAACTTTTTAAAAATTTCTCACCAGTACTCATTTGCATGTGTACCATTCACCCCCGTGAGTGTGAACCAAGAATGGATTTCTTGGGGAGTTCAAGTTTAACTGGAATAGCACTCTTTCTTTACTTTGATGGATTGCTCCTTTTCTGGGAAACAGCTCTGTGAAAGAATGGAACATTGTCCCTTTAAAAGAATCCATGACCTGTTGCATTTACAGTCCTTGAATTCAGCCCCAAGTCCCCAGCCTTGCTCCTCATACTCCTATTCACATTTGGTTGAGATTTGACTTTGCTTAAGAAGAGCAAGATTTATATATTACTACTCAGAAGCCATTAGGTCCCAGTATTTCAGCAAAAACCCCTAGTCTGCCAGAGTGAGCAATGATGCGGCCCCACCTCACTCTCACTAAACCAGTATCCCCAGATATGGAACTGCTGCTTGCATCTATTCAGAAATTTTCAAGTTGTCTAAGTGCTTCCACCTATTAGCCCATGTGATTCCTGAAACACCTCCGGCTGCAGTGATGGGAAGGAAAAGAAGAACAGTAATTCATGCATTTGTGTAATGCTTATTTATGGAGCCAGAGAGATATGGAGAGATATGCCAGAGGCTGGGATGTATCAGACACTGAGACCGAGTCTGTACTGGTGCCCAACACGGGCTTGTCCCAGTTCTCAAGTAGCTTTGAAGGTGGTAGATCACTGACCCCTCCATAAGGCAAGAAAAGAGTCCTCATGGCTTATTTCGCTTACTGCTCATAAACTATGAGAGAAAGCGTATCACCCTAATTTTGTACCCGAAACTCCCAGAGGTTAAGTCACTCAACTGATAAGAGGAGAGACGATGCTCAGACTCTAGCCTTTGAATGCCAAGACCGCTGATTGCATTCTGGATTCTTTCCAAATAGTGTGATCTCATGTCAACCCAGATCAATTCAAGCTCTCCTTCCCAGTTTCCCACGTGCCCTGGTTCAGCCTAGGTAGGTGGCTGGTGCATCACACAACAGATACTGAACGTTTCAAATGAATTGCTCTAAGGATTTCAACCTTGATAGAGGCTCAGAGGAGATGCTAGCCTGGACTTTGTGTGACTAGTGGTGTGGGTAGGTTGTGTTTGGGGTGGAAAGTGGATAGCAGGGTTGCTGGGAAAGGTGATCCAGGAATTCCCAAGGGATGGCCCTGACTCAGTAAGTCACCAGGCCAGTTATTTGAAATGAGTCATTTGGGGGCACGATGGCAAGCAGCCTCAGTCCTTCTCTAAACTATCGGGAAGCCAGCAGCCAAAATATTCCCCTCTGAGAGAATAATCCTAATAATAATTGCTAGAATTTGCATGCCCCTCTACAGTTTGCAAAGCACTTTCAGACCCAGTTTTTTCATTAACTGGTGTTGTTTACTGGACTAGTTGCAAAAGGGAACAGGGCTCACACTTACCTAGTTTGGTGGGTTTTTCTATATTTTTAAAAGTAAAATCCTTCATCAAAATGAAATCTCTCTCAGGGCTCTAGTATTTAAACTGATGCAAATGGAATTTCTATGGTGGGAGGGGACAGGGAAGGGGCACAGTCCACTCTTAAACCTTTGCTCTGACCACTATGTCTCCAAGGAACCCCCAGGGAAAAAAAAAAAACCTGCACAAAACCAACATTCTTCCTAGTGACAACTCCTTTCACTCCCCACCTCCTTCTAGAAGGGAATGCTGAAAGCCCTTGGAGGTGACATCAGGTTTAAAAGCCATTCTCGTCCAGGAACCCACCAGGGCTGTCCTCTCACAGGGTTATAGCCAGAAGCTCTACCTGGGAGCCAGCCTGCCCCAGGCTTTTCAGGCAAGCAATGTCTTGGTCACAGACAGTAGCAGGGACAGCCCTTTCCTGCTATGGCAGCCTCTTCAGGCGAGGGCTCAGAGGTACCATCTTCATTTCAGATGTGGAATGCCCCACCACTGTGATTTTTTCAGCCCCAAATGTTCTCTCTGAAAATGCAAGAAAATGTAAGGCTCTCCCCAACTGGAAAGCTTCAGTTAGACTAGATGGTGGTGAGGGCTGGGAAATATGGTGAATGCACTGAATGCCACTGAATTACACACTTGAAGGTAAGATGGCAAGCTTTATATTGTACATATTTTAACATAATAATAATAATCTTAAAAACATACACTGCTCTTTAGTTCCTACAGGATCAAGTTCAAACTCACTGGCCTAATTTAAAATCTGGACTCTTTCTACCTCTCTAGCTTCAGGTCTTGCTGCCCCCCACTCCATCTCTTCATTTGATCTAATATTCAAGTTATTCCACATACATGGTGCTTGATATATATATATATATATATATATATATATACATACATACACACACACACATAACACACACACACACACACACACTTACATTTATCTGGTACTTAACAGATGCAGGAATTTTGAATCATTTAATCCTCATCAATTCTATGAAGTAGATATTATTATAAAGCTCACTTTATATTTAAGGAAACTGAGCTACATACAGGCTCATTGTCTTATTCAAGGTCAAGCAGCCCAGATGGGATTTGAACTTGGATGATTTGTTCCTGAACCAGTAGAATTCCTCACTACAAGACTACTACCTGTGAATGACCTGTCCTTACAATTTTATGAGAAGAATTTCTCTTCCTCCTTCTAGACCTGGCTCAAATATCACCTCCCCTGGGAAGTTAGGAAAGTGGGTGACTTCTTTCTCTAGGACTGTAAGACTGACAGCACTCTGAACACACATACAGTCATCCCTTGGTATTCATAGGGGATTATTTTCATGATACTCCCCTCGCATGGATAGCAAACTCCTTAGACGCTGAAGTCCCTCATATAGAATGGTGTCATGTCTGTATATATCATACAATCTTCCCATATGCTGTAAATCATCTCTAGATATCTTACAAAAACTAATGTAAATGCTATGCAAATGGTACTGGATGTATTGTTTAAGGAACAATGAGAATATCTTCAATCCACAGATACAGATAGTCAACTGTATTTGGCAGGATACTTCATATTGTGGGTGGCAGGCTGCTGAGTTTGGCTCCCTACTAGAGTGTGAGGCCTCTGAACACAAGGCCAGGTCTTATTTATCTTGAAGTCCTTGGGTGCTCACTGCATGTATGATGAATGAGTGGACAAGTGGATAATTAGGTGCATTTCTCTCCATTTTTCATTTTCCTTTAATAAATTATAAAATCTTACCTTCCCTCAGAAGTTCTGGCATGGTTCCTTTAGGTTCTTACACAGCCACTGATAATCACTTGCGTTTTTCTGTGTATCTCATCAGGCAAAAATTCCTGCTTTTGCTTTCCCAATATTAATCCATAGTATATTATGGGTAGGTATGGATTAAAAATATGATTTTTCATGTTTTCCAACTTGAAATGCCTCCTGGGAAGAATATGATAATCTCTGTCCCTCTTTGAGATTTATTGGCCAGGATAAGGGGGGAAAGTGGATTAAGATTTGCAGAAGCAGGATATGTAGAAGCAAGAAAGAATGGGTGAATGGGTGGATGAATGAGAGGATGGATAAAATGATGGGTGGTTATGTTGATGGATGGCACATGAGTGGAGGAATTCATACATGGGTGGATGATGGAGAAGAGGATGGTGGAGGGATGCAGGTTCATGAAGAAATGTGGAAAAAGATGTATGGAGTGATGGATAAGTTGTATGGTGGATGAGTGGAAGAACTAGTGGTTGGATGTGTGGTTGGTCTAGTGGGTGTTGGGAAGACGGATGAACATGGGTGGATACTGGATGGACAGAAGGATAGATGGGAGGATGTAAAGAAAGATTGGTAGATTGATGGATGGGTGGATGAAAAACTACTTGGGAGGATGAATGAGTGTGTAGGTGAGTGGAAGGACTGAGGTATCATCCTGGGACCTGAGGATGAACAACACATGGATTTGGGGAGGCAAATTCCAGCCCCGTGGCTGGCCATCACTAGCTGCCCCTGACCCATCTGAGCAACACGGACTTCACTACTCTCTTAGGGGAAGAAGGATGAGCGCTCCCTCCCCTCACTCCTCACTATGGCCCTGGAAGCGCCATCTGGGCAGGATCTCGCCACTGCCCCAGCTCCTCTCCCAGGATCTCCAGCCGCCCGCCCGCCGGGGAAAACCAGAGAATCCTTCCCAGCCTGACTCAGAGAAATTTAGCGGGAAAGGAGAGGCCAGAGGCAGAACTCAGCGGGGAGGTTTTAGGACTCAGTCATCCTCCAGCGGGGGGCGAGCTGGTGGGAGAACCCGGCGGCGCGTCCGGCGGGTGGGCGCCTCCAGGCGCTGCCACGGTCCCTTCCCGGCAGCTCCGATTTACAACTTCCATTAAGAACCGGGCGGGGGCGGAGGGCCAGGGCCGAGGAGGGCTGGTACGTCTTTAAACCGCTGCTGGCTGCTTAGTCACAGCCCCTCGCTTGGGTGTGTCCTTCACTCGCTCCCTCCCTCTTAGGTCACTCTCTCAACCCTGGAATAAAAACTGCAGCCAACTTCCGAGGCGGCCTCATTGCCCAGCGGCCCCCAGCCTCTGACAGGTCCGGTCCGCCCTCGTCGCCGCGTCCTCGGCCAGCACCCCGCCCCTCGCCCCGGGACCCCCCAGCTCCACTTGCTTGCTCTCGCGGTTCGCGCACACACACCATGGACAAGCTCTGGTGGCGCGCAGCCTGGGGACTCTGCCTCGTGCAGCTGAGCCTGGCGCAGTTGCAGATCGGTGAGTGACCGCGGCCGTCGGGGCCAGCGGAGTGGGAACCCAGGACGGCGCCGCGGGAGCTCCGCGGGCAGAGTGGCCCTGGGGGACTGTAGTCCAGCGGAAGGCGAGCGACTTGGATTGGGTTCTGGAAAGCAGGGCTGGGATTGGCGCTGAACTGCCGTAGACTTTGCTGGTGGGAAGCACCTTGTGTTGAGAAGAACGGGAAAGAGAGAGGAGGCTTCGCTGGGCAGGCTGCCCGCGCGCAGTTTTGGGTGAGGTCCTTAGGGCTGGAGCACATGGCCGCAAGTTAACTGTACTCCTGGATGCTTAGCTGGTGTCTGGACTAGCAGGCTCCTGCGCCCAAGGGCTCTCTGAGCCCCGCAGGCTGTGGTTGACCGGGCAGAGCTAGGCAGGGCAGGGGCAGGAGCTGAGGCAGGTGCTGGCACTGGGACAGGAAGGGGTAGGTGCCTGGGTGAGGTGGCCACGCACTTAGAAGCCCTTGGCAATGAGCTTTCCAGAAAGACAACTGAGAAAGTGAGGGTGGCTCCCCACTGAATCTGGTTTCCCAAGCCCTTATCACCCCTCCAGTCACTGACCACCATAACTCTTGTGGAAACTTGAACCAGCTCTGAGGCCAGGTCTGGATATCTGTGAGGGTCCAGCCCCGGCAGCTGGGCAGCGGCATGGAGACTGCATAGGAGAGGCAATGACTGGGCCAGCTGCAACCTCCTGGTTCTGCCAATCAGTCAGGGAAAATCCAGACACGGATAGGGCTCCTGTTCCCTGCCTGGTAGCCTCGGAGCTGGAGGAAGCTTGGATATCAGGGTAACATCAGGGACCCAGAGGCTAAGGTTCCAGTATCCCATCCAGAGGAGGTTGGGGGCTTTTGGTGGCTGTAGAGGGGAGGGGCTTTGAGGTATTCTAGCATGGCTCAACTCCAAGTGTTCCCTCTCTTTGTCTATATATGAACAGATAATTTTTACATGACCGATTTGCTTATCACCAGCAAAATTAATTTTTCTTTCAAGTAGTGCCAGCTGGGTCACAGAGACAGCTCAGCCTACAGTTAATTCTACTCAGCAAATACTTATTAAACCCAGTTCTTAGGAATACCAAGAAAGCAAAAGACACAACCCAACCTGTGGGATCTAGAATTTTGATTAGGTGGGATCTAGAATTTTGATTAGGTGGATCTAGAATTTTGATTAGGTGGGATCTAGAATTTTGATTCCTGGAACAGAAGCAATGCAAATAATGATAACAACAATAATAGCACTGTGGTAGCACTAGTCACTGTTGTACACTTTGACTGTGTTAAATCCTTTACATGTGTTATCTCATTTTACCCTTGCAATAGCCTGGTGAGAAGTACCCTGTTATTAGGCCCATAGGAGGAAAACAGAGGCTCAGAGAGGTTAGGTGACTTGCTAGAGGTTACACAGCCACAGGTGGTAGTGAATATGAACTCAGGTTCATTGAGTTCTGAAGCTTAGGCTTAGAATATGTTAGAATGTACTCCAGGATGGGAGAAGTTGGGTAGGATTTGGGGCAGGAATAGACCAGAGGCCACAGGGAACTGGAGCTCCAAGGGACCTTTGAAAGGCAGAAATGTTCAGTATGGGAGGGGAGAGGGCAGGAGCCCTGGGCCCAGCCTTGGAGAACAGAGGCCGGGGAGCTTCCCTGAGGCTTCCAGGGAAGGTTGCTGGCATGTTACCCACCGGTGGTGTCTTCTGTTTTGTCTCTGAGTATCTTGATTCTTCTCAGCCTGACTCCTTCTAAAGGGCCCCATCCTCAAACACTCCTGACCCTTGGGGGTTCTCCCAGAGACCAGCAGGCTCACTCCTACCTCACGTTTCCCTGGTTTCTTGGCGTGCATCATCCACAGAAGGCACGAGAAGTGCCAGCTGCAATGAGCACCTGGGTCCTGACTTCCGTGTGCTTGTGAAGTTGTTTAAAAGGAACTGAGACTTGAAAAGGAGACAGGACTTAACGGCAGACCCAGGGCTGGGTAGGCAGAGGGGGAAGAAGAAGGAAGGGAGAGGAATGGAAAGGCACCGCCATGGCCCATTCTTGGGTGTGGAAGACTCTGGAAGACCATGAAAATGGAAAGGGGCAAGGCTTTGAACAGAGGAAAGAAAGGTCCAAACTCTGTATCAGAAATCAAAAAGCATAGCAATGGTCAAAGCTCCTTTAAGCACCTTTGAATCTAGAAACTCAGAGTTGGAGAACAGGTGCCTTGAATGAGGTGTGGGGAGAAGAAAGTGGCCTTAGAGGCGGAGGAGTCCTCTGTACACCCATCGCCTTTCCTCTGTGGTGAAAGGTCAGTGCTAGGGAACTGTACCCCTGGTTTTGAGAAAGAGGGGCGCCTCTGAGAACCCTGCTGCCTGGGGATGGCCGGTACCCTTCTGCTCCCACTGGGGCTTAGAGACGCCTCCCCTTGCTGGGAGCCAGGGCTTTGGCTGTGTTCCCATGAGAGGAAACCAGGAAGCAGAGCTGCATCCCCTCGGGGGTTAGCACCAATTAATTCAGTGATTCCCCTGGCACACACGGGGCATCCTGAACGCGTTTGGTGTGAGTACGTGTGTTGGAGGCTGCAGCCTGCAGAAGAAGGGTCTATTTTCTTCCAAATCTTCCCACGTGGGAGGGGATGCTGGACCACATGAAATTCCTAGTTTATGACACAACCCCTTCCATTCATTCAAGAAATATTCCCTGATTCATTGTCATAAACTCAGAGAGGGGGACTCTAAGCATCATTTAGGGAAACACACACACACACTCACACCAAAAAATCCCTTCTTTTTCCCAAGGAGGAAGTAGACCATGAAAGAGAGGGACTAGTCACTTGCCCTCTGAGACTGATTAGGGCAGGGGGCCTTTCATACATTCGGTCTCTAAAATACCTCTATCTTAGAAGTCTGTAGGAGGCCGCCCCAACCCTGCCGAGCGCTTGTTTAACACCTTAAATACTGTCTTGCCACTCATTCCAAGTCTGTAGTTTGCCTCCGCAGTAGTTCTGTTTGAGCTTCATAAAGAGTGATAATAAGAAGGGAGGCAGGGGAGGAGGAGGGAAACACTGGGGGAGAATAGTGACCAAATTTTATGGCCACAACATGTACATGTACAAATATGTAACAAAGAATTGAATCCATTATTATGTATGATCATGTTCATATATGTTCCTATTCCATAATATATGTATATAATATATTCCCTTATATATATATATATATACACACACGCACACACACACACACATATATGTATATTATGGTAAAGCAAGTTCATGCTCAAGAACAATTCTGCCTTGTCCTGGGGCCTCTGTTGCCTCCTGAGACATCTGTGGATGCCGGTTTTAAAACCTGGCACTTTGCTATTGTACCAGATGGTTCTATGCAAAACAGGGTCCTAAGTTTCTAGGAAAATAGCACTCACTAAGCACCAATTCTATGCTAAACATTGAGCCGGGGTTTGCCATGAGTCTCTTACGTAAGCCTCACAGCAGCCCTATGCATGAGTGCGTTCTTCACTCCATTTTCTTGATAAAGAATTTGAGGCTCCAACTTTGCCCATCCTGGAGTACATTCTAACATATCCTAATTTGACTTGCCCAAGGATACAGTGGTAGAGTCATGATTCCCCCATGGTCTCAAATCCCCCCCAGGTTGAACCTCAGGGCCTCTGCTCCGTCCATTCATTACTTGCCTTTGGAGAACTTTGGAAACTGTGTGTGATCCTCCCATCCTCCTGTCTTCCGAGGCCAGCACAGCCTGGCATGAATGGCTTTGCCCTCCACCCTCGGGCTGGTTGTGGATTCTCGAATACCCTGCCCTGCCCTGCCCTGTCCTGACTCGGCACTCTGCAGGCCTGGCCGCAGCTGTCAGAGATGTCAGCCTTCTTAGTTGTTGCTAAAATAAGTCAGTTGATTCCCTTATCAGAGTCCAGCTGCCCTTCTAGACATGCTCTCATTTGCAAGCTTGGAAAAAATGGAGAGGTTGCTCCCTAAGAGACAAGTCAGGGCAAAGGCCTCTCCTGAAATTGAGAAAGAGGCCCTGCAGATGCTCTCACACTGACCTTACAGGCGCTTCTTATGCAGCAACCCGCAGGGGCCCTTGTCACATGCTCATTAGCAGGTTATACCTGCCCCTGGTAAGGGGAAGTCTTGGTTCCCTCTTGGGCTGACATGGTTCTCTGCAAAAGTCAAGGATTTTGAGCCAAAACCAGTGTGGAATGCTAGGTGACATGGGGCCACCCAAGAGATGGTGAATCAGCCTGGAGTCTGCTGATGGTCAGGAGGTAGCGGGAGGCGAGCGGGGCCTCCCCAGCAGCCCAGCCAGGGGCTGAGGAAGAGATTAGCTGTGGTTGTTTCCCCAGCACCTCTGTTTTAGTCAGCTCCACCCAGACCCTGAAAGGGAAGTGATTCTTGTGAAAGATGGAGTTGAAGCAGGTGGCGGAGGCTGCCTCCCACAGCGTCCTTTTCAAAGGGGATCTTTTGGGCCCCAGAGAGAAATCCTGGGGGTTTGCACAGTGAGATGCCAGTGACTCAATTTCCGTTGTGTCTCCGCTTGAAAGAGGACACGAGTGTTCTTTAGGGAGAACTGGTTCCTCCCATTTGAAATTTAAACCCTACTCTCCACTCATGGAGCAGATGAAATTTTTCTTAAAACACTCCCCCAAACTGGGTCTGAGAAGCCAGCCCCATCCGCCAAGAGGAATAGAAGGGGTATTTCTCTTATCTGTCTTCTACAGCTCTGATATCAGGGATCATATCTCCTTCGATTTTTGGAGTTCCAGACCCTAGAGCTGGTACACGTTTGTGACCAGAAACTGTTTGTTGAACTGAATGGAAGTTCTAGAATATAGACCTACTTCTCCATAGGAATGCTAGCTGGCTGGTTGGCTGGTCTGCTTAAGAGGCTGGTGCATTCATGTGTACGTGCCATCAGGGGGGCTGGCTGGCTTGGCTCTGGGCAGGGCTGAGGGGCACCTGCCTGCCACAGGGCTCATGTTTGGTCAGCCCG